GCGCGGCCTAGGACAGACTGTTCATGGAAAAAGGGAAAGCTCTTCCGAGAGAGGAAGCGAGAGAGCAAGGCAACTACCTGGCTGCCATGGCAGAATTCTGAACAGGCAGCCAGGCGGGGTGTTTATGTCGCTCGTGCTTTTGTGAAGGGAGGCCTTATTAAATTCCTGGTGTCCGTTTGGCACAATTGCCTGATTTGGTCATTACACTCGGGACCTCAGCCAAGTGCGCTCCAAAGTCAATGGGAGCCGAACTGGGGATGGAGAAGCAGGGGATGGTCACATGGCAAGCTGTGTAGAACCTTTAAATAGTTTCCACAAGCTTGGAAATTTTCCCCTCTCTGAATATTTTTCACCCTTTTTTGTGGTGACAGCCATTCTTTCTCCACAATGCCCTGGAATGGTCTCATGGAAACTCATCAGGAGCGATGACTGTACATTTTTCACCTCCAAAAATAGGTGCTGCCGAGGCACTGGAGCCAACACAACGTGTTCCTCTTCCATGTACCCATCTACCGTTTCCTCTTCGCGGTGCAATCCTAGCCACTCAGAAATGCTCTTGTATGTGTCAGACTGCAGCTTTAACCACTATGCTGGCCTGGGAACTGGAACCAGACAGAAGCTGATAGGGTGAGGTGGGCCTGTGGGGGATGGAGAGGGGCATCCCTCCCAAGGTCCTGCCACCCTGGTAATGCCGTGGGAAGACCCAGCATGCTGGGTGAAATGCAGAACCTCTCGCGCACACATACACACCAAAGCTACTCACCACGTCCCCCTTCCTGTTCACTCTGAAGCATGTGCCACTGAATTCAGCTTCCCAGCTAAGGGACTGCCTGGGCTGGTCACTTACTCATTACCAATAATGAGGGGGTGCATCTCTTTCCCTCCCTCACACACACACACACACACACACACACACACACACAGAGCGGGAGTAGCCATTTGCAAAACCTTGGCCCATGTTCTTTCATGTGTATGGGTGAACATTTAGAAATGATGACTAGAATCTAAATAGCAGAGCAGTGGCCTGGCAGGTTATTGCCCTTGATGGGCAACTCCAGGCCCAGCTGCTCTCCCTTCTTCCAGCTCTTCAGCTTCTCTTGGATTTGGACTGTTCAGCCCTTCCAATAGTGGACTGCGCCCCATAAAGTAGGGTACCCGGCCACCTCTGGACTGCAGTCCTAGCCTTGACTATTAGGCCTTATTAAACACCCCACATCTTACATGGTGTCACCAGGTAACTGCATGTGAGGGGCCTAGAATCCACGTGTGGTTTGAAAGGGAAAACCATGACTAAGCATCTCTTGAAGATGTTTTCTCAAGCACCTGATATGTAATTATAAGAATAAGAATTTTCAAAGAGGAGGAGGAGGAGGAGGAGGAGGAGGAGGAGGAGGAGGAGAGGTTACAGTTCTATGCTGCCCATGGCCAAAGCTCTCTGGGAGATTCACAACATTAAATCACCCATCCAGCCCTGCTCAGCTTCCTAGATTAGGCCAGATCAGGCACTTCAGGCTACACAGAGGCATTTTTAGCATTTTTCCTGTGATGTGTTTATGCATTTATTATTTTAAACTGCTTAAATGGTTTTGTAGACATTTTTATGTACATAATGTGGATGTTTTAGGATATCAAGCAGTTCAGAGGTCATTAAACAAACTGGTAAATAAAAGTATTATAACTGGAGCCATTTGCTCGCTTAATTTCAAATAAGGGTACCTCTGTCCACAGTCTTATAAAACATCAAGGCTTCGGCTTACATAACATTGCAAAGGGTCAGAGTAATGATTAACCTTGCCCCCTTTCCAGTTCACTTTGTTCTCAAGTCACCTGTTTACTTGGATTAAACATATAGTAACATGCTGCTATGGGGTGGGGTAACATATCCAGAGCTGTTGTGTTTCTGGAGGATGCCTAGAGCTCAAGGGAGGAGGGGAGGGAGAAGAAAGGCTTTCGTTTGAATGACTTCTAGAAGTTCCAATCGGTTCTCAAGAGAGTGAAATGAATCATGCACAGCAGAACAACCAGAACACCCCACAGGCATAGTAGGGACATTGAAGGATGTCCTTGGTATTTGATGGGCACCCACTTGTATTTTGCTAGATGGGGCACAAATCGTAGAGGGAGGGTGGCATTTCTTTAAAATGTTCCATGCAATAGGAAGCTGCCAATGAAAATGCACACCACTGTCTCTAAAAGGGCCTGTCTGTACGGTCAGCAGAATGGTCCAATGTATGTTTTCTTTGCCTGTCCCACTGCAGGCAGCAGGTTACCTGACTATATGTTCAAAACCAATCAATCAAGAAGGAAGATTGGGTTTTCTGACAGGATTCAAGCAACATGATTCAAGGACTGAGTATGAGTTGCTGCTGAGCCGTGGGTCATTGTTGAAATGTAGGTAACCACGTTCTCTGAATCCAACTGAGATAGCAAACCATGGAAAACAAGCCACACAATAAACAATCCAGCAATAAAACCAACTCTTCCTGGGTTGTTCATGGTTAACATACCCCAGTTCAGACTACACAATCAGCCAGTAACCCTACACAATAACCCTTCCGCAAGAACACACAGTTCAATGACAATCCACACTCAGTCCTTGAGTGTGGATGTCCTTGTTGTCTGAACACAGCCATTGCTATTTGGCTGTGTTCTCTACATTATTATTCACAAAGGAAGCATTCCAATATAAGTGGTGGTGAAAGAGTGGTGAAGTCAAGGAGCAGGTTAACACCCAACAAAAAACAAGAAACACTCCAATAGCCCCGGTTCTGTAAAGAACCAAAAATGTAGTAGATATGTACATTCCCCATTTCCACTGTTTTTGACAAGGAATGTGTGGATGGGCCCTACAGAACTCATCTCTCTCATGATAAGTTGTATAAGCCTTTACACAACTTCTGGAACTCTTGAATAGACCAGCAAGTCATATTGATGAATTCAGATTAAATATTTTAAGATTCAGGGTAGGAAACACACAAGCTGAATGAAGCTGTTATGGACAGAACATTTTGGAGGACTGTCGTTATGTGCCACCAAGTTGTCAATGACAACTTGGTGGCACATAACAACAACAACAAAGAGAAACACAAGCAATTTACTTCACAAAGTTGGAGGATGCCTGGAGGGTCAGCCCAGTCCAAGGTGCTACAATAGCAGACTTTCTTTCACAATGGCCACGCTGGCTGGACCTGAGGGGAGTTGTAATGTGAATGTCTCAAGAGGGCCACATAGCAGAAGGCTGTCCTAGACCAGCCTTCCCCAGCCTGGTGCCTTCAAAGATTTTTTTTTTAAGTTCTGGCTGGGGACTGGCAACCCTGGTCCAATATTTCCCCCTCTCGTTGGTGCCTTCCAGGAGTTTTAGACTTCCACTCTCCGCAGTGCCAGTCAGCATCATCCATGAACAAGGATGCTGGGAAATGTAGTCCAACACATCTGGAGGAGAGCAGGTTGAGGAAGACTGTGTTAGACTCTGCCAGGAAGCGCTCCTTAAACCTCGACGCATTTTCACAGATCACTTGCAAATAAACATGTTTATCACGTCTCCAATCATCCGTTTGTTCAGGTGGAAAGGATTACAGATTATATCAGTGATTCCCAAGGAATGAGCTGTGTGAAACTTCAAGGGGACCATGCAGGCATCTTAAAGGCAAAATCCCAAGGGATAAACTGCATCATTACAATGCAAGTTCTGCTGATGCATCTCTTGGATTAACTGAGCTGATGTGAAGTTTGGCCATTCTTAGATACATATCAGTAGATTATCAGTTCACTCAACCCCAGCAGGAGTGATGCAAATGCAGTGGGCTGCAGAGCTAACCCCTCCACAATGCATAGAAAATGTATTTTTAATGAACCAAGGCTTACATATACACATTTGTATGCAAAGTCCACCCCCACCCCATTAGACTCTCTCTCTCTCTCTCTCTCTCTCTCTCTCTCTCTCTCT